CCCCCCCCCTCAAAATTCAATTCTCCGCTGGAGAACGTCTTCGTGAGCCTCTCATGATTTCAGGATAGTTGAAACCCTCTTGCCCTCTTGAACATTCAGAAAGAGTGCATATGAAATTCGAATTACGAAATGTGTTCTCGTTAAAATACCATTCTCTCCTGGAGACCGTCTTCGTAAGCGTCTCTGTGTTCCCCGAAAGGATCGCAAGGTGTTACATACCTAGAGTTTATTTTCTTCTCTCCTGGGGCCAAACTCAAGGAGCACGTCTTCGTGAGCCTCTCATGATTTCAGGATAGTTGCAACCCTCTTGAACATTCAGACAGAGTGCATATGAAATTCTAATCACGACAGGTGTTCCCCGAGGGGATACATACCTAGAGTTTGTTTTGTGAACCACGTCTATTCTCTTTTTGGGAACGTCTTCGTGAGTCTCTTCTGGTTTCAGAATAGTTTAAACCCTATGATGCTCCGATTCTATGCTCACCGATGATCTGAGCCATGGGGCGAGGTTGTTTCCTTATAAGAACCTTTCTGAACATTTCGAGAGCATATGAGCAACGGCTTCTATTTGCGGTAGTGGTGATTGGTCTAGGGGCGTTCCTTTTCTATAGCCCAATGTCAGAGTTAGTTGGCGAAACGAGGTAGGAACACCCCGAAAACGAGATGGGCATCAAATGCGCCATTTGTTTGCAATCGTTTGGTTAATGACATGTTTAGCTTGTGAAACGAGGTAGGAAGACCTCTCGAGAACGAGATGGGTTTCCACACGCCAAAACGAAATACAGGCATGGAGACCGAGATCACACACCAAAAACGATGCGGGCTTGGAGACCGCTGCTGTGGCTCGAAGTATGCCACTCGCGTTCTCTTCTCTTCCCGCTGTCCTACCTTTCGTGTCTCCTTCCTCTCAAGTAAGCTATAATAGCTAGCTATAGTAGCTATTAGGCTAAGGATCCGCTACCTTATACTGGATGCAGCATAGCTCACGCTTCTTGATGGAAGTTCTGCTAAGCTTCCTTGAAGAAGCACTCGCACTATTCATTTGGTTCCTAGAATATTAGGAATAATTTTAATACGTGTTTCATTTTGTTTCAACCTTTTCATAAATTTTCAGTGGTAGTCAGTTTGTGGGGCTACGTCGCAATAAAATTCTTACAACAGCAGATTGAAGGAAGTTGGGTGGGACGTTAATACACGTTTTTGGAATATGTCTTTCTATTTTATGGATTATTTTTTGATGTGCGTTGTGATGACTATAGACAGAGTCGAGTTATTGAACATGATTCTGTCTATATAATTTTGACAGAGAGTGAGAGTGAATGAATTATTTCGCTGGACTACCTTCCAATGCTTCTTGGGTGTTATGATGTGGGTGAGGGGTATGACATAACACTAAGCTGAGATTTGGCCATACAAGTTACCAATGAACAGAGATGCAGCGGTGAAGTGACTCTAGCGGAGGTCTATATTTGTTGAAAGTCGGAAGACATGACTGGCGTCACCCAAGTTTTGCAACTAGCCTACAGCCAGCCTAAGGCATGCACAGCACGCATGAACAAGCTCTTGATGCTCTTCGCCAAGAAATTTCCAGGCCAGCTTGATGCGGTTGCTAGGATCATATGTCTTTGTGTCCTCAACACAGTTCTCCAACGTTAAATTATTTGATGATGTTGTCAGCATTTCTGCATCGATGCACTTAAGCGCTGGACCGGGCCGACTAGACTTGGGGGCTGCACATTTTTACGCAGTGTCCTTTTCGCATCTTTTCGCCAATTCATAGAAGCAACACACTTTTTCATGCTAGTAACAAGGGCATCGCTACTAGTAGCTAGAAGCTAGAAGCTATTAGTAGTAATATGTAGTAATGCCCTTGTTACTAGTAGCGATGCCCTTGCTACTGTACTAGTAGCGATGCCCTTAGGCCCTTGCGGTTCTGATCTGGGGAGCACGGCATGTATACATCCAAGAGCAACACTGACACTTCCAGGTTCATATGTTTGATCAGAAGACAGTCCAAACGCGAATCAGCAGCATCAACTGAACGCAGTTTGTGATACAAGAGCAGGCTTTATATCCCGATCTCGGGCATAGAGTATGCAAGAGCACTGGTCGCTTGTGGGCGCAACTGAACTACCGGCATCCACCAGCAACAGCTGTGCTTCCAAGTGGAATGAGATATCCAACTGGAAGATACTGGAAGATATTTTTTGAGATTGACAGTTGCAAAAGTTAGGTCGCTAGCCCTGTCTTGCTCTTCAGTTTCCTACATCGGCAACATATCCGCATTCGGCATTCGATCCCCTGAGATTTCGATGCTGCTCTTCCTGAACCTTCCTGCGATTTCTGGCGATGACTGGCCCAGAACAAGTCCTGCAGCAACCTGTGGCAACAAATATGTGTTTTTTTGTTTCCATATTTTCCATCCCCTGCTTTCCTTGTAAGGACGTTCATGTAAGAACAATCACACGCTAATTGTGAGGTCCAAGACATCAAACATGCCAGTGCAGCTTTCGGAGCGTGTGAGTTGTCTAATGTTTTCGCAAAATGTCTATTGGCTAAATACATATAAGTATTTATTATATAAATCTATACATGTATATGCCCAAAGCTGCGGGATTTCAGCCACATTTTTACATTGTTTTACATCGCAGACAAAAGCTCTGTATAAACAGACCTCCAGCACCAAGATGAGCAAGATGGGACTGCCATGACGGCTGGGACCATTTGCATTTTTAGCGATCCAAACCAAGCAAAGGGCCCTGAGCGGCCCTGAGCCCCAAGAGTCAGCTTGAAAGCTGCAACCACTTGGTTTAGCGGCTCGTACTTAGCTTCTGAGATCAAAACTGATTTCAGCCGAGTGTCAAGAAAGTTTGCAGCGTCCTCAGTTCTTGCGTTTTTAGCCGCCTTTACCATGGTGTCATATTATGTCACTCAAGATACGGATTTCATATCTCGAGATCCTTCGGAACCACACAGTTTCATGGTCTCAGGCGACGACTGCACTAACAGTGGATGGAGGGAGTTCAACACGTTTCTTCCATGCCAACCAGAGGTGTTAAACATTGTTAAGCCATTTGGCAGATTCAGAGATGTGTTGATCTTCATTCCACAGAGACGCACCGGATGAGCGGCTACGGTGCGTCAGCATTCGCACCCAGTTGTGCTGATGCTTCATGCTGTGCAGGAGTGCAGGGTATACACCCCAGATGCCATTTCTCATATTTGTCCACATTTGTGACATTGTTTTGTGCTGCGCTGAATTGGAGAATCTTGGAGGTTACGGGGTCATTGCGCTGCCATGTTGGCCAGTCGAGATTCTAGAGAACCTTCACAACACCATGTTTGACACCACCTGGAGTGTATATCACACAATCACATGTTCCTCCTTTCATTTGCAATGCTTTCGGCGCAATTTCTGCGATCGTTTTGCTCCAGCTCAGCCAGCTTCATAGGGGTGGCCCGCAACATCGGAGTCTTGAGTCAGCGGCCTTAAAGAGAACGCCTTGCCAGCACCGTCAAGCCATTATTGGGTACAGTACTTTTCCCAAGGCAAATGCTTCAACTCAAACAGTACAGCAGGTCTTCAAGTCATTTGACGGTGTCCAACAACCAAAGAGCTTGCCCATGCATAGCCAAAGCTGCTGACGCTGGCTTGAGCCGGACACCCAGCATGACAGTCTCGGGCGCACGCTTGCCAGAGGGAGCCAGAGTGTCTAGTATAACTCAAATATTGACAGAGTTTGAATTTGTCCGCACTAACATTAATTTAACTTGATTTTTTCAAGCTACTGGCTACTGATAAGATAAATAGACAAACAAGCTGCCTTCTGCCTGAAAATAAGGGATGTTTAATGGACGTTGCGTTCATCACCATGATGTTCCGACTGCCTGCAGCCTTAGGGCTTTGGGTGTGTCGTGTCTCCTGTCTCCTGTGTGCTGTGTAAGTGTTTGTTTCCTTCTCAAGCTGCTAGCCATGGATGCGAGCGTATCTTTACCTCCTTTGCCCTTCGCTGCTTGAAGCATGGAGACTCGCATGCGTGGTGCCTTGGATTTGCAAGGATCCGGTTGTCCCTGCTGTTTTAAGGATCATTTTAGGAAGAAATAAACTCACAGTGAATGTGGATGGAGATGCTGGTGGTTCCAGAAGATTGAAAGAGGACCTTATCATACCTTATCTACTGGTAGTTACTTGGACCTGCGGACCTGCCTTTGGGCGGAAGGTGAAACTTGGAAATTCGACGGCTGATCTCCATGGCTTCCATTCGATCTACCGGACCTGGGGTAGTCACTGCGAATGGCTTCTTGACAGCAACACCACAGCGTTCGGCCTTACCAATGTTCACCTTCTGTCATCGGTATAAACTCCAGACACATATTGTGACCTACTGTAAATGCATACTCTGGAAGCACTATCCTTCTTCAGAGATCAATCCGCATTAGCTGCCAGGTTGGTTGCTGTCATACCATCTGGAGCCAGGGTGCCTGGGAAGCAAGTTAATTACTTGTCCTGTGTTGAAGGGTGACTTGCTCAATTTGGATTGACCGTTATCAGATCATGCATAGCGGAAAACACATTGCAAGATGATGCCAGTGCACCGCTTGCGGCCAGGCAACATTTTGGACAACGGTGGGACAAGGCTCCTTTCAGGTGTGGTACAAGCTTGTCAACGACTGAAGGAATCATTCTGGCCGTTCCGGTCCACTCTTTTCGGTGGGGGAGGTCCTGAGGCTTCAATCTTCAAAGCACGGAAGATTTGATGGTTATTTAGTGTAGTTCAGTTTAATGTTCGTTATATATGTGTTATTTGTTGTAGCTCTGTAGCTCTTACATGACATTTCTTCACATTTCGGCAGGGGGGTAGGACGTACGTAAGATAGCTAGTATTACAGTATAGCTAGTAGTAAGCTAAGTACACGACTAGTAGCAAGGACGCGACTACCGATCGGATGCAGAAGGGATCCCAGTCGTCAAGGAAACTTCTGCAGCCCGGTATGAAAGGAAGGAAAGCAAGAACGGTCTCAAGGTCTAAAGCAAAGTATGAAAACAAATTGAGCCAGCATAATTTGCAGCAGCAGCACCCTGCAGTGGCACCAGCACCAAGGCTCCACTGCCATAATAGACATCTGGCAGCACCACCCTGCAGCGGCAACCTGCAGCCCAAGCACCCAAGCTGTAAAGCGCACACAGCCATGGACATCTCGCAGCAGCACCCTGGAGCGGCACCTGCAGCGGCGCTTGCACTCAAAGCGCACACAAGCACCCCTTCCTATAATCGAAAGTATACCACAGTCGCTCTCGCTATGGGGTTCGATTGAAATCACCAGACCTGGAGGTGATCCAACTTGTTGATCCACCTAGTGATGCACGTGACTTGCTGCAGCTCACCCGCCTGACCATTGACACCATTTCAGGAGGCGGGCTTTCAGACTTTGATCGTTGATGTTCACTGTACCCATACAATCATACGGTGTATGGATAATGTTGGATCCTGATTAGTAAAGGGGGGTCCCCCCCTCCCTCAAACAAATGGGAGACCCTCTTCATAAACTACCACTAAAACAAATTTGGGTTCCTAGGAGGATTCCTTTTTGTAATTGATTGTAGTATTCATTTTCCTTTCTCTCTTTGTAGTAGTAGTAGTAGTATTAAGAATTACTAGTTTTTATTTTTCTTCAGGAAAAAACTTTGCACAATTGAGGACCCTTAGAACAAGTTCATTATTGAGGATCACGGGCCTTCCTGGTCTACTACCTTGAACATTTGTTTAGGAGCAATCTTTACATAAAGGATTAATTAGGGAATTGATGGTTTTGGGAAGCTGTCAGTTTTGAAGAAGAACTATGATGGAAACCTATACTTATCAATACTCTCAGAAATCCAACCAATATACTTAATTAGGGAATTCAAACCCTTATTAATTAGGTGTCCAATATAAAAAACTAGGGTCCCCCAAAAAAATTAGCATTATTCAGGACCACCTTTTCAAACATGGGGTCTAGAACAATTTTGGAAACAATTTAGCATTATTGAGGACCGGTTTACTAATCAGCATCCAACATTACAAAGAAATCATATCTGATATTGGTATGTTTTTGACGCGTTTTGCTTTTGCTGCGGTCGCTTGTTCTGGTAGACACTGAAGCAGTTGTGTGCTCAGTGCTACAGCCACACTGCCACACTGTCTCTTTGCTTGAGTGGGGCTGGAATCCAAATCCCACTTCGGCCAATTCGCCACAGGCTTGGCGGACTTGGTTTGCGCTTTGGCGAGGCACCAGTTTCGATCAACAAACAGATTGGAACAAATTAAGCCAAATCAATCAAACCTCAGCCCTCCTGCGTCCAAACCCGGCAATTAGTTTCCCAGTTACAAATAAATTATCTATATATAATTTATACTGTTTTAAAACTGCAACAACAACACACTTCACTACACTCCAAGATTCAAGATTCTTGGGGCACGCCAGGATGTTCCCAAGGGAACTTGAGGCGGTTTTTGTCAAAACATCCGAGTCATTCTCATTTGGTGCAGTTCTACATTCTACATTAATGTATCCTTTACATTGCATTTGCAACCATCCAGTTCCCGCCATTTCAAAGGTCGTACTCTCTAGCAAGGAACCTGTGATCAGCAGACTGCATCCAACTGGCATGAACGCTGCATGTAAACGGTCAACAGTCGGCAGAGGAATGATCCGGTATCGACCTCTCATACTCCAACCGTAGAGAAAGCACTCCACGATATTGAGGACCCCATATGCCATATGCAAAGCAAATAGCCCAAATCAAAAAGAGGGCTTGCCTACCTAACAAAGCACTGTAGTGGAAAAAAACAAACCAGACAGCCTCAAACCAACTGATTTCAGAAGTGCTAACTCCATCCTCATTAGAGCGAGGCATTTCCTTGCTCCTGGTCTGACTGGAATTCCCCAAATTCAATCTGTTCAGAAGCAACCGAATCGCAAGAACTCAATTGAGCTGAGTTTTTTTGTACATGAAAGGAATTGTATGGAGGTTGTCCTGTGGTTTGTTCGCGTAAGCAAATTCGCTTGGGGGCTCGCGTAGGCATTGTTGGGGAATGTTGGGGAATGCCTTCGCGTAGGTTCCTTGCGTAGGTACCCCTTTTCATACAGTTTGATTGCTTGAATGTGTTGCGTCTCATGGTTTCGGTGTTTTGCTAGGACAGAGGCTCAGTTCAGAGGGACAATGGTCAGCAAGGAACAAGATCCCGACACTGCACACATGCAAACAAATGATGCAGATAGTGCGTGAAATTGCTGTGGCAAAGCCATTCTCTTGCCAATAGCGGCGATGGCAAAGCCATTCTCTTGCCAATAGCGGCGATGGTGCAAATATGATGAAATACGTGTTTTCTCGCGTAGGCTCCGGGTACACACCGCGTAGGTGGACCTCCCACTTGTGCACTATACCCCACGTCTCCGCACAACTGTCTTTCGGCTGACAAGTATTGCCTTGCAGCTTGCTGGCAAAAAAAATGGAGTGAACACACGTCTTCTTACAGGTGGCAGTAGTAGCGGTAGCGACTAGACCACAAGCACAGAAGAGTGAAGCCCAATGGCAGCGTAGGCAAAAACACACTAGCAACACAAAAGCTGCACTGCGTATGCTTCGCATAGACATGCTTCAACTACCGCTGTCTCGCGTAGGCAAGCACTGTGGTGGCGTAAGCACGCGTAGGCTTCTAGCGTAGGCACCGACAAATTACAACACTCCACACAACAAAAACGCTGCTCAACTCATCAACTGTCACGTCAGTCACGTCTGGCAACGGATAGCATCCTTGGCATTTCATACGGTCAAAGAAACTATCTTTCTCACAAAAGGATAGACTGCTCCCCAAAACACCCCGAACAATGGACATGTCAGGCACTCTTGCGGAAAAAGATTCATGGGTAATTACTGCAAGTCATGCAGCCATGAAAGCAGCAGAGCGTTGTCTTGAGAGAGGCCTTGGATGTTCCTGGTGCCGCAGAACTTGATTGCATTCTTGAGTGATCAGCAGACGGCCAGCGGAGAGTTGCTTAGTGCAAGATGGACATTTCTGCAGCACATGTGCGTAGCACATACGGTTTGGTTGAGCAAATGTATTCCCAGATGTTACCTAAACAGACTGATGGAAACACATGGTTGATACTACCCCTGTAATTTATTCCAGCCAATGTGGGTATGTGTGACATTTTGGTGCTACACATGACACTCTTCACATTGCAGCATCTTGGATTCAAAGCCAACACTGTGAGGCTAGGCCATTGGTCAATACCTTGCGGTAAGACGCTCTTTTGCCAGACGGGCCTGCCACAAGTGTCACAAGTGTCAATGCGCGCGTGGCCACTCTTCCCTGCGATGTGTGGAAGACGCCTCGAGGAGCGCAAAATTGGGACATGCGGCTGGCATTTGGCAGTGAAATTCCTGTACGCGGCGCATTCCCTGTCAAAGCATTGTTTCATAATCGACAGGAACATGTTTTTTGTGTGGCCAGTAGACTTGCCATTGCATGCCAAGTTGGTGGTGTAATGGCGCTGATGACCACCTGCTCTGTAGTGAGGAGGCCTGCGGTCAGAACCTGAGCCAACCAGTAGCTCTTCATGCATCCAGCACAAGGCAGCATCTTAACTGCGTTCAATGAGGGAAACATTGGACTGAGTGGGTAGCGAAAGAGAAGGTTATGGTGCACAGCGGGTATTACAATATATTGTATATAGAATATTGATGAAACATGATGAAACAATGTCATAGCTTTGCATCGTGTATGATTGCCACGAAAACCTGACTTGAAAGACAAGGAATGAACCTGTTGCACTTTAAACCTGAGGCTTTCAGAACTGCATGCTTTCTTTTATCATGCCTGGCCACTCAAAGCAAATTGTCAATTGCGCTTGGCATCTTCTGCCCGGCCTCCTCTACCTCGAGTAGCCGTCCTCATCGGGTGCCTTGCTTTGATGAAGGTGATGGACAGTAACTGCAGCCTGGAAGAGTCAATAGAAGCGATCTTAGATTAAGAAGTGCAGTGACCAGGAGGCTTGAATAGTCCACCGCTCTTAGGTTGGAGGCCATCGCTATTAGGTGCGAGGCCATCGCTATTAGGTTGGAGGTTGGAGGCCATCGCTAGTAGGTTGGAGGCATTCGCTCTTAGGTTGGAGGCCATCGGTAGTAGGTTGGAGGCGTTCGCTCTTAGGTTGGAGGCCCTTGCAATTAGGTCGGAGGCCATCGCTAGTAGGTTGGACCGGAGGCCATCGGTCTTAGGTTGGAATAGTCCCATCTTCCTACATTACATAACATATTTGTTTGCATGTTTTTTGCTTTCCAAGTCAGTATTCGTGCCAGCGCACAGGAGGGGTTCGGATCTCCTGTTGTTTGTTCAGGCCTAGCGAACAGAGAATTTGTTTGGGGTCCCGGTTTGGACGTTTCATGTCTTCATTCGGCATGCTGAATACGCTCCCTCCCCATCAATCCTTCAAGGCAGTGCCGCAATCATTTGCTACTAGTAGCGCCCTTGCTCCTAATAGCGATGGAAACAACATGCACCGAGAATCTAATTCATGGCTGCGGCTGGGATGAGTGTAGGAGGTGGGAAGGATGAATGATTAAGTATAAATCGCTTTCATGAGGACTTGTGAAGAGGGCAGGTCGCAGTATGTCGTAGCATCGTGTTCAGGTCCCTCCTACGTGGGCTTCACAAGTCTGGTCAGATGCTTCGAAGATTGCCCCTCGCAGCATTTAGTTGCACGTTTTTGGTTATCTTGTGTCTTGGGAGCTTCGTACCCACCCTTCCAGATTTCCTGCCTTTATGTAATTCTTTTGGCGACTAACCCTGACTCACTCTATGGACGTATTATTCAGAATAATTTGACACTCACAGACGCTTTGAATCCGATTGAACCCACTTTTCGTATCAGCTGATTCAGGTTCAAGGATCGAAGAATTCGATACCACATTTTCATGTATTCTTCACCACCTTTGGCATGGGGCAACAACCTTGGATGTGCTCGACTTCTGGATGACTTGGTCCACCAACTGCCTCGTCACCAGATCACTTGGAGATATGCCACACGAAGCGAGAATCTCCAAGAGGAAGCATTTGCGAAGAGAGTCAACTCAAGGTGGGGAAGCTGTGCAGGTGCACTTAAGCCACTGATGAAGCAGCTAGACTGAAAGATTTGATTGTGCAGTGCATTGACGTACAACTATTTGCAACTAATGATTAACCACACGAGAACAAGATATAGATATAGAACATCAAGATCATATAGCACATCACATTGGATTCAGGTTTTGTTGATTTCGTGAGCAACGCATTCAGCAGGTCACATTAAAGCTGAGATTTGATTTTTGCTTGCAATGCGCTTGTTTCATTGAAACGCATGTAGAGGCATAGATGAAGCTGCTGAGATTTGCAAGTTCCAAGATGATTGTTTTTTGGAGCATACCGACCCTTGATGTGTGTGTGTGTGTTTTTTAAGGGAGTGTATTCTAACGTGTGCTTCACCTTCACTCTGGGAGGCACATGAGACAGTGGTTCAAACTAGAGCAAGCATATGAGATGATGGAGGCCTATGAGCAAGAACAGAATAGAGATTTTGACTTGGTCTTGAAATTGAGGACAGTCCAAGAGAAGTTGACGGTTCTGATCATACCTGGTTCAGGCTTGAGGTGGGATGTTTGATTGGAGTTTGCCATCAAGAAAAATACAAAACATGCAGACTTCCGCAGCAACCGCCAACCGCCTGAAATTACTGCAGAATATTGCAGAGCACTTCACTTCATAGTATCAACACCACAACGGAGCGAGACCTCTTGCAACACACTCGCTTCGCATCACATCAAAGAACGCTGCCGGCCTTTTGCTTCGCTTGTACTTCATCCGTCCAACCTGCTCGCGATGGCCTTGTCCGACTGCATCACCCCAGCAACCTTGGACCAAAGTATCCCATTTGCCTTGCCCACTTGTTTCCAAAGTTTGGTCTTGCAATGCCTTGGTGAAACCTGAAACAACACCTGCCACTGCCACAAACTCCCGTTGTGATGTGAGTCAACCAGTCTACTGTACGTAGTTCTTAGATGTGGTTAGTGTATTTGGGGCTTTTGCTCGATCTTTAGCGATGTAATCTTTGCTTTGATGCTATTACAGTATATTCTTTGAAGTCATACCAGACCTGAGCTATTAATCATCACCGGCCATTTTTGAGAGGACAGATATGTTTCTGCCGGCACCTCTCGATCTTGCAGATTTTCCGGAGATCCTGACTTCCAGATTCTGAGCATGTATTGAACTTATTTCCTAGAAGCTGCTGTCGGAAGTCCTCGCAGTCGTAAAAGGTTGCAACTCCTGAATGGTTCTTGATTCTTTTCTTGCTCCGCAGCCATGCGGTGCAAAACCAAGGAACTGTGTACAGTTTCACTGACATTGCCTTCATGTCACGCCGAGATGTAGCAAGAAGCCTGCTGAAAAGTGTGCCGCTGGCAAGCATTGGTTCTTCCACAAGTAGTAGTTTCGACCTCAGCAAGTTGTGGACAGCACACGATGAAAAGGCGACTTATATAGCATTCTATAGTTACTATGCTTGTACAGCTAGGCTTGTTCTAGGGGTTCCCGTTTTTGATCCTTTTAAGATTATGAGACGGGTGTTGAGGTTTCAGCGTGACAAAGTCATGCTAGTCGAATCTAGTGAGTTGTTTTTTCCAGACAAATTATTAATGTTCCGAGGACTGAGAAGCTGTCTCAGTATGCAGGCAACCAGCGAGCGCTTTTCCCGCTGGACTTTGAACGACTGCTTCGAAATGGACCTTTGGCCTAATTGAACCAGACATGGTTGACACAGTCGCGAAAAGGGTGAGAATATTGTTAAAGCAAAACAGCAATATGTTTTTGTGTTTTTTTACAGTCACCTTGTTGGAGTCGCTTGAGCTGAAATTTAAATGATCTATCGAGCTCACTGCACCCAAGCCGGTCACAATGACATTGTAATGCGCCCTAGTGGAAGCAGTCTTTGCATGTTTTGGCCAGTAGAATACAGAGTAGCTAGTACAACTCCAAGGCCTTCAGTACCGAGCACTCTTACCATTTTGAATTGGAAGAAGATCCAGTGTTTTAGACGTGTCAGTCCATTCCTAAGGCTGGGTCGAAGGCTTCAGGTTGCAGACCTTCCCGGACATCGGCCCTTCAGCCGCAATGCCGGATGTAGAGCGTTCCAAAGTGAGTATGCTCGTTCATCATTCATCACTTGAGGAGTGTCAACAGAAGCGTATGTTCCTCCTCACGTGAGCCATGGTAGTGTCTTTCTATGACCACTAAATTGAGGTCAAAAAAAATGGAACGACCTCACCGGATGAGGTTCACCGGAGCTCCGTGCAGCAATCGCTTCCGGCCATCCCAACAAATGTATGGCTTTGCTGCGGCACTACCGCAGAGAGCTTGAGAATGCGGGCGACGTGCCGAGCTTCTCCGGACACTGGAGGACCCGAGCAGTGGGGGCGGCGGGATTGAGTGAACTATTTGTCGTAAAGAATGGAGAATGCTTGTAAAGGATGGAGCAGGAATGTATGATATGTGTTCCACACACCTTTTTTTGGAGGAGAAGGTTCCTGTTCTAGTATTGTTACGTATTATAATATATGTAATATTATGCATGTGTATATATATATATATATTTAAGGGCTTACGCCCGACAGCCGGCCAGGGGCCCAAGCAAAGGGGAGGGGGCAGGGAAAAAGGGCACGGGGGCTAGGGGCAGCGGGGGGACGCAGGGGGTTGTTGTTGTTGTTGTTGTTGTTGCTTTGTTGGCCCAGCTTGGGTCGATGTTGGCGTATCTTGGGGGCTATCTGGGCATCTTGGGAGCTATGCTAGCCCATTTTGTCGCTATGTTGGGGCTATGTTGGCCCATCTTGGGGGCTATGTAATCTTGGCGCTATCTTGGCCCATCTTGGGGCCATGTTGGCCCATCTTGGGGGCTATGTTGGCCCATGTTGGGGCTATGTGGCCCATGTTGGGGCTATGTTGGCCCATCTTGGGGCTATGCTGGCCCAACTTGGACGCTTTTTTGGGCCTATGTTGGGCCATGTTGACCGCCGCAAGAGCCGAAAAGTGGGACAAGCCAAAAACACTGTAAAGCGCGGTAGCTTTGGTAGGTCGGCGCATGGTCGGCGGCAGGGCAGCAAGCCCCTCTCTCCTACGGAGAGGAGAGAATGCCTACGGCAAGGACACGGCCTTGGGGCCTCGGGGGCCCCTGGCCGGATTGGCCCATCTGGGGCCTATGTTGTGCCAGCGGGGTCTTCGGGCTATGTTGGCGTATCTGGGGGCCATCTGGAAGCAAAATCCCCAGGTCTTCGGGCTATATATGTTGGCGTATCTGGGGGCCATCTGGAAGCAAAATCCCCAAGGTCCACGCAAACCCCATGCCATAAAGGGAAAACATGGCTCAGCCCCGGCGGGTCGGGGGCTGTCTCGGGGCTAGGTTGGCCGAGCTTGGGTGCCATGTTGGCCCACAGTCGGGACTGTGTTGGCCACTCTTGGGCTATCTTTGGGCTCTGTGGGGCCATCT